GCTTTTTGTGTTGCATACTGTCTACACAACGATGACGTTTTACATGTAAGCGATTTTAGTTTTTCTCCGGTGACATCATAGACTGTATATGAGAAGTGGACGTAGTCGTCGCAACGTCACCCACGAGGCTTCAAAACGTCTGTTTTGAAGCCTCGAGTTCGGCGATTTGGCCGTTGCCATCTTGGATTACGGCCGTCGCCATCTTGGCTGTTTTGCAACTAATGAACGAACGCTACCAGGCTCTGGTAGCGACAGAAGACCTGTCAATCACAGTAAGCCCGCCCTAAAACACTCCACTTTATGGTCTATTTGAAACTGGACCATGTTGTATTAAATGAACATCATGCTGTATTGAAGAAGACTTGAAACTAGTGATTGAGACCATAAACTCATATTTATAATGTTTACTGAGGTAATAAATCAAGTGAGAAGATGGGACTTCTTTTTGGAACTGGAGGAGTCGGCCCCTGCTGGTCAGGAGAGAGAATGCAAGTTGCAAGACTCTTCCGTATCGGCTTCACTAGGCAAAAACGGAGTTTGCCGCCTGGGTCACATGCTGCAACAACTCTGGGGAAACAATGCCAGGCCCCGCCAATCAGATGCTGAATGCTGAAATAGATCTCGGTCATGGCAGCAACTGTTACCCACAGAATCACTTCCTCTTTCGCGTTTTTTGACTACAAAATAAAAGCATGAGAATTTTTTTTCTTCAATTGTACAATACAAATTTAATACAATAACAACTGACTGTCTGTCGCTACTTCCAGTTGCATTTCTTTATCTGCTGTTTAGGAGGTATAATGTGTAGCATGTTCACCATCTGTGATAGCGTGCTAAAGTTAGTTAATTAGCACCAAATACGAAGTACACAGCTGAGGCGGTCGGGACTGTCATTAGTTGCAGATGCACACACATGCACATAAACCAAGGCAAGAGGACAGATGCAAGAGAAACAGTAGAGGGTATCATTACACACATGGTATAAACAGTCGCTCACCGAGTAACGTGAGCCCGTCTGAGCTCCTTCAATCAGTGGCCACTCCGCCCCGCCCTGATCAGGAGACCGGCTTCCACAAGCCTTGGCTTAGTAACACCTTGCAGGACTTGCAATTAGATGGCAGTTCTACCACGCAACTGTTAAATGAGATCTTGAACTCCATTACGTGGGCCTGAAAATATCTGTGAAGAGTGTGCCCTTTACCGTCCAGTAAACTGGCTGTCACACTAAATTAACTTTGTTTTTTGGGGGGGGGGGGGGTTTCCTCCGAATGTAGTTTAATTCACTTTCATCTTTCACTTTTAAACGCTTTTCGTAAACAATGGCCGATGTCCTACGTGGCTGCACAAATACACACTGGCACACAGAGATTCCAACACACACACATACATTTCAAATTCTCAGTGGCTAATGAGTGCTTGCTTAGAGGATGCATTAATTAATATGTTTCCCAAGAGACAAGTGCCAGAATATGAGGTCTACACACACACAGGACAAACCTGGGTCAAATGATATTTAGGAGGATTTGACTGTTGGGAGTTAAACTAAGGACACACTATGTTACTATTTGCGTAGTCAAACGACAGTAAAAGCATTTTTTTTTTTTTTACCAGTTAAAGCAAATAAAAGACGAAGAAAGCCGGATTAAGTCAACATTGGGGGGGAAATAAGTCGGTGATGAACAATGGAGACTCTTGCTGCATGATTAGTATAAGCACTCGTCAATTTAACATTGACATGTGAGGCATCGGTTGTATTTATCACCACGAGTAAATGCAGTGATACAGCAGGTCTAGCACAGTGTGTGGAAGGAGAGCTGGGTTTTCATTGGAGGGCGTTTGAGTTTCAGCCGTTGCCTCCCACACTCTGCAGTACTCGCAGTGATTATCAGAGATTATATCAAACATGTTTGAGCCAAGTCAGAAAGTCTACGGCATGCCCAGACTGGAGCAGAGGAGTCACGATTGAATCTTCAGAAACCTTAACCCCCCCTCCCCCCCAAACAATTAAGGAAGATTAGTGTTTATCATCAGGGAATGTTCCACCGAGGGTCAGGAGAGGCCATATTGGCATATTCTAATCCTGACCGGTCAGATTCTGTGTGTTTTTAACCCTTAAGCCATTTCTAACTTCATGCAAGGGCATGTCACCCACATAGTTCCTGGCTCTCTGATTTGATTCTGCTTGAACACGTTGAGATCCACACAGTTCTCTCTGGGTGTGGCGCGGCGTCAGACCAACGGCAAAATGGGGGCATCCGGATCCTGCTAATTTAGATACGGCAGGAGGGAGCTGCAGAGAACAAAACTGAAAGGGAAGGAATCGCAGTTAAACCAAACACGCAGTGGTAACCAGAGCTGTTCCCCAAGGCGCTACCTTTGTCTTTTGGGGATTTCAAGTTACAAACCTGCAGTTCATCACAAGTCCCAGCTTTTTCTTTTTTGGGATGATGACATACCCCTAGTTGTTGGCGGTAAATAAAAACTCACTAACTGTCGACAGACAGACAGACACACACACAGACAGAAAGGCAGTTCCTTTATGTTTTACAAGTGTTACCCATGGGGAGGAACATCAGACCGATAATTTGGGATCATTTAGAAATGACACCAGTAAAGGGCCAGTACACTCCTACTGTGCTATACATCGTGCTGTATGTTTTTTAAGAGCACATATTCATTGTAAACGGGGCCCTGACAGATTTACTAGCATTGACTGGGAGATCCCTAACATGCTCGGCACACACCCGAACTGTGAATCATGCCTGCATGTTTGAGATCAAGGCGAGAGGTATCGGGTGTCTGCAAAGTGTTCTAATAAGGTGAGGGGGGGGGGGTGGTTCTGCATGGCTTTCCACCTCTGAAGAGCTTTTCATACCCTATGGAGCGCTGTGGACTGCTGTTGATGACACTGGGGTAAAACAGCAGGTCTCCCATGGACAGAGCAGATGCAGTCAGTAAATTGAAGAAAGTGATGCAAAAGTTCAGAATGAAGCACACCTTGATACGATCTTGTGATGGATAAATCTTGTGCAATTATAGTATTTGACACTATAATAACAATATTGGTTGGACCGTTTATTCACTGTGGGAGTACTTAACATCATAGTTTTGATGTCACAGTCTCAATTTCTGTACTATAGGATATGAGCAAATAACTTCGTGTCTAAATTGGCTTGAATGGGCTAAAGACAGACTGCACGTACAATAGCACAGTCCTTTTTCAGCAAAAACTCCCCATTGAGTGTCGAGTGAAGAACAGACAGGAGGCAGGACTCCTCTAGACCAGCTGGTCGGCCCAGTACTTAAGTATGTGCTAATGACACCCCAGGAAAGATGCATTGCTCAAAACTCCAACAACCTAGTGAGCACTTAAAGCACTGCTATGGTGTCCTAAGAGCTGCGATGCCATGCATTCTTCGAAATGCACTCCTACTTTAATGCAGACTCATTCTCACAAGCACGGTTGTACAGAGACAACTATTGTTATGTATTGTTATAAGTATGTCATTCCAACATGTACTGGTGGTGACACCGGTGCTTGTTGTGGACATATCCGGATAGTTTGAATTCAAAGTCGTAGCCGCAATGTGGCACCTGTGTTCCGATGCTACTGTAACGCTATCCCATTCAGGAAAATTAGTTTATCGAAACTGCATACATCGACATGTTGCGTACCTGAACTTGAAAACGTACGCCATGCTGTATTTAGTCAACTCAAAACCAAGTAGCCACAGGTGGTACTTCCACATGATGTCATTGAGAGGGCTTTTCTCTCTGAGCATTTCAGATGTGTAGTGGACTGTGTCAACCACTGAAGCTGCACCTTCACTCTCCACTCCCGACTGCACGACTGGGTGTGAAAGGGAGGGGAGGGGGGGGACTCTAGCTCATAAATCCCCAATGGAGTGGAACATTGTGTATGCGACTGTGAGTGATTGTGGGTGATCGTGCACAGATGAATGGGCAGCAAGTAAGAGGGAGGAAGAAGAGACTGGGAAGAAACAAATTAAAACGGTGGATATTGGGCTTACTGCTCTGTGTTCATGGTGTTCATGGATGGGAATTGGGGGGCGGGGCGGGGAGGTTAAAGGCAGAGAGAGACATAAAAAAAAAGATTGGCTCCTGCAGAGAAACAGGTGGAATTCCTCAGATGTCTTGAGGAGGGAGGCATGCAGAGGCTGGTCTCCTCGGTCCTCAGGAGGCGGACCCACCTACCCTCTCTGCCTCTGGGTCAGAGGTCACCGACCTTTTTGAGACCGAGAGCTACTTGAAGGGTCGAGGGTGATATGGAGGGCAACTCGTTTGATATAATGTTCCTGAATAATTTAAATAAATTTTAAATAATGAGTATTGTGCATTTAATCTGTTTTAGTCTGTTTGTGTTTACTGATGCCTCACAATCCTTATTAATAACGTTGTTGCTCAGCACTCACAGGCTACATGCAGCGTGTGGCAGTTGGTTTTTGTGGCATTTGTCTTGCCCCACCTCCACTGGGATTAGACGATGGGTAAGAAGTGACAGTGACAAGCGTAGCATTGGACATTACTTGGATATTGTTCAACTCTTGGTGAGCAGAAAACAAACACCAAAGGCGTGGCAGCACTAGACCGAACTATAACAGTGACTAATGCTTTTTTACAACGTGCCCTGCGGGCGACCCATTTACTCCCTGCGGGTGACCAGGCACTCGTGGGCCCCATGCTGACTACCCCTGCTGTTGTATTAAAAGCAGACAGCCATTTACAATCGCCAAACCATGGCCAGAGATACACACACACACACACACACACACGTGTTTAAGGGGGTATGTGTGTGAAAGTACACCTTAAAGATCTCGAATTTGATCATAACAGTCAAGAAATCCATTGAAGCCTAAAGTCTAATCCTGACCATAACCAATTCAAACAAGGTAATTGTAAAATTCCTGGTTAAAGCAATGATGCCTGTTCATAACTGATCCAAAAACCTGTCGTGTTTCTTTCCCTCTGTTTCTCAACAGGAAGACAATGAGATCCCCTCCAGTGTGTTCGTCAAGGACTCCCTCAAGACCCCGCAACCGAGCCAGTACGATGTAGAATCCATCCTCCCTGGTCCGTCCGTGGCCGGCTCCGTGGCCGGTTCCGTGGCCGGTTCCGTGGCTGGCAGCCGCGCTCATGAGGAGGGTCTCCACACCATCAGCCTGTCCTCTGACGACGACGACGATCTCACTATCCACCACGAAGAGTACGAGATGTGCGAGGGCGAGGGCTCGATGGGTCCGGGCACGTCCCGCTCATTCGAGAGGAGGGCCGACAAGTTCAAGCGCGACAGCCTGAAGAAGGTCGACAGCCTCAAGAAGGCCTTCTCGCGTCAGAGCATCGAGAAGAAGGTGAACCAGATCACCACCAAGATCGTGCCACCGGAGCAGCGCGAGAAAATCCGGAAGAGCCTCACCCCGAACCATCCCAAGAGCCCGACCGCCAAGTCCTCCTCTTTCAAAGTAAACCCCATGACCTTCAACATCAAGAAGGAAAGAGGCGGGGAGGCCTCCACGCAACACCTGGGCTCACCCGGGGAAGAAGCCCACGTAGAGATTCCTGCTCTGGAAAGCTTCGATGGAGAGATACCCTTGGCCGAGGTATATACCCAGGAGGGAGTTGTGCAGAAGATCCAGGAGATGCAGAGTCCCTCCACCCCAGAGAGCATGAAGGCCGAGCTGGCAATCAACGGAGAGGCACCGAGCATTGAGTGCGAGATGAATGGCAATCGCTCTGCAGACCTGGCAGTTCCAGAGCTTTATGAGGAGGAGGAGGAAGAAGTGGAGAAGCACAAAAGCCCGGTTGAGACCGCAGCAGATGTCCAGATTCCCACAGCAACAATTACTGTAGCACAAGTGTCTTAATATGATTTTAGTGAGCAGCAATTCTAGTTTCCCCATTCTTTCTTTTCTTGCTCAAATTTCTACATTCGTAAACACCCAGCAGGCACAAATCCTCCCTCCATTGTTCTTGCCATAAACCCCCAAATACACCAGAAGCATAGTCCACCCTCGGACCCATTCCTGCAACCCCGACCTTTTGATCATCACCAGCTTAGTCCTCAGACCTTGACACGCACTGTAAAAGCAACTGGGTTAACAGCTAGACCTCACCGTGTATCAGAATCTAGTGCACGTGCTTCCTAAACCCTGTTAGCAGGGCTGTCCAAAGAAAGCACCATTACACCAATGTACCGTAACTCCCATCAACCGGTGGCCTTGTCCTCAATAGCGGCACATCTCTAAGGCGCTGGGCCAGCTATCATCCCTACTGCTGTGTTTGTCTGCCTCTGGAGCTTTCTTCCACACTGACAAACAGCCTATTCGCTCTTTGTGTGTGAAAAAATAGTAAATCTTTGGTACTACCCACTGCCTGTTGAGGCAGTGTGTTGCCAGGTTGTGCTCGAGTTGGAATGGGGGAGGTTCAGGGTTTTCAGTGAAAAGGCACGGGGATGTTTTGTAGTGAACTAGAGGTTGTTTACTAAATTCTTTTGGACCAACGCTGAAAGAAAAGATCTCAACTAACAGGTGGCCATGCTTCAGTCGTCTGAGCGGCGACATCTCGTCTCCTGTCCTTCACCCGCGCTCGACAAATAGTTTAATACTTCCATAGCGACATGTCTAAAATACCACATGAGTTACATGTGGTGCATCAATAAATACTAAAATGTTTTAGTAATCTGTGTTTGTTCAGTAACCTCCACCAGCAGACAATTAGAATAAATGGCATTTAAAATGGTCTAAATGTTCTTGCGAATCCCACTAATTACAAGATAAACAAATAGCAGTTAACATGTTTGCGCTCGGACAAGCTACTCTGTATGCCGAGACAAATTACACAAAGAACCCTGCAGCTTTCTAATACTGACATATTAAATGCCCCTTCGACAGCCCTTTGTCTTCTCTGCAGGGCAAATTTGTATGTTTATGTACAGGAATTATTTTTAGTTTTTCTCTATGCGAGGCACACTCCTCCCTAGGTATTTACAGCTTAAACCCAATAAAACGCTAACTTTACGATAACCGCCTCGAGTGTGTGTACTTTATACAGTGAATGTTCCTATGAATTTGTTTTGAGTTACTATATGATACTTTGTTGTTTTGTGAGTCATCTTTTTTTTTTTTCCTTTTCAGGCAATCCATGACTTGCATGGTGAAATGTTTACTCGGCTTCATATGTTTAAGACATAAACATATCTTATACATTTGCCAGGGCACCATCGCTAAATCCCCTCCCCCCTAGACACACACACACACACACACACCTACAGTGCCTTTTACCTTGCACACCCTGGTATGAGTAACTGCAGTCCTGAAAGGATGGATTGTTTTTGTAGATAAGAGTGATTTGTAAATGTTTTTCCTCTTCTGAGGAATTCTTTGCCGCTAACACCTCCTGGGGCACAGTCATGGGTTGATACCGACGACATAAAAGCTGAGAATGTTTAAGTTGGAAGGACGTGCAAATTCATTCACAATCAACCTCACGTTTTCAAAAAAGTGCCCTTTTCCTATCTTGTTGCACACCGTTAGCGCTACGCCAGCCTTAGCTACAGGCCCAGACTCCCTAAATATAATTTGGCAAGTGGTACCAGGTGCCACGGATCCGGATGCTAGAGAGGTCACAGAAGTGGATAAAGGCAGAGGACAGCAGTCCTAGCTTTGACGGATGACTCCCGCTCAGCCCATTTTTCATGATCTCGGCCTCCTTGTTGAGACGTGAGGGAGACGCTCTGTGGAGCCACAGGTGTGTGTGTGTCTCCCCCCCCGTGGAGGCTCCTGGGCATGAGCTTGTAGTGGAAAAGGGCCACGTGTGGGTGTTGGACTTCAGTTGTTGGAAAGGATGATAAAGTTGCCGTGGGGTTAGGTGTAAAATGTAAACATATGTAAAGTTGTAAGAGTCTGAAATGCCTTTAGACGTTTTGGAACTAACTATGCAAAATGAATAAATAAATAAAGTCACACTTCATTGAGGTCTAATAAACACAGGAGAAAAGTAGTGCACATGTCATAGCATACATTGTTTAAACTATTGCTTAACTTAAAGCCTTTCACTGTATGTGCTTCATGCGTTACCATTAACCTGCCAGTTTGCTCAATGGGATCTGTAAGGAGAAAATAAATAAATAGACGTGAATGATCTGAAAGAACTTGTTATCCGTGTTTATTTTTACTTTGTCATTCTGAGTAAATTCCACTCTGTATGAATCATTTTACTGAAAAGGGATTGAACACTAAGCTTATGTGTGCATTCTTGTACTGTAGAGGTTCAAATGTGACTGGCTTTGAGGTATTTCCTGCTTCGTCGTGTGTTACTTTGGTGGTATCTCTGTCTCTCCAATGATAAATATGCAATACCTAGATTTGTGTATGTGTGTAAAAGTCACTTTTTATTTGTCTTGAAATTAGACTGTTTCATCTGGATCATATGTGAGCGCTGTTTTTTTGTTCATGCTCAAAAACCCGATATTTCCAGTATTTTTTAGGTAGTGATATCGTGTTTAACACACCATCTTTGTTCTTACAGAGTTCTTACTTTAAAGCCTGTTCATTTAGTTACCCACTTCAACCAAAGACGTTTCCTTCACAGCAGAAGATTCCCCGCCACTTGAGTGTTTCAATGAACTCCTCCTGCCACTTGTTTCAAGCATCTTGTAAACATGCAGGCATTTCCTTTCAGAATTTAGTATTGTATACATCAATAAAGATTTTATAACATTCAAATATGGCCTGTGGTCTTTTATTTGCAGTCCTCGAGGTAAAAGGAGATGAGTAACATGAGTCACACAGTTCACATAAATTGTATAATAGTTAATGTTCTGTGGATTGGTGTCGTGACTTGAATTTTTGACCTGTAGTGCCCGAGGAAAGATAGTCACGCTTGCTGTCGCTTAGGCCGCTACAAGTTTGAAATAACTAAGTCACACAGTTAAGTGTAGGTAGTAGGGTAGTAGAGGATTCATCTCAGTGGAGGGAGCGGTTCGATTGCTCAACCCCTATTTACATAGCACAGTTTGTGGAAAATCAAGATAAGAAAGGCGTTGGGGTCAGAGCCACAGCAAAGGTTTGCTTCATCCAAATTACAAAATAACCTTTACATAACGTAATACTTTCTAACTAGAAACAGAGTCTCCTGTGACTCAGAAGAACGTTCACAACACATAGGAGGAGCTTTCTACAGAGGAAGTAGTCCCTAGGAAAACTATTGACAGTTCTGTGAATGTGCTGCTCGTTTATTTCATTTATTTTGTCCCCAATACTATGTGCACCATAAATTAAACTTCATTGACAGCCTTTGTATCGGCTGATGTTACTTGAAGAAATCCCGGACTATTTACATTTACGATCATTGGTAATGAGGAAATATTCTTTTGTATTTTGGGTGAACCGGCTCTTTCATATTACCTTCATTGAACTGTCTGCACATCTGCTGAACTTTGTATGTGCACATTATGCTACAATAGAATAAGACAACGATAAGGAGTCGTTTGTTTTGGTATATTTGGTTTCCTCATGAGTGAGCCGAGGTGTTTTGACGGTGTTTGTCTCCCTCTTATGTCCGAACTCAAACTAACACTCTGCTTCTTCCGCTGCGTTAAATATTGTCATTACCAATGGCACTGCTATAACTAGCAAGCCAAGCAATAAGAACATATATATGAGCTTTCTGCATCAACATGTAACCGATTTATATCACATTAGACTACTATCTGTCGTGAATAGTCACGGTGGCCGAGAGGTTAAGGCGTTGGACTCGAAATCCAATGGGGTTTCCCCGCACAGGTTCGAATCCTGTTCGTGACGTTTCTCCTTTTGCCTGGATTTCAAACATACTTTCAAGAAACGGCAAAAGCGCCACCATATAAAGTTATAACGTGCTGTAACACGTGCTACACGTGTTTAACTACTTACTATTTGGACGCATTTAGCGCTCCGACCACTTTGTGTAAGTGGATGGACGTTTTAAAGAAGTTGGCAGCTCGTCAACTAGCCGTGATGACTTAAAAGTAATTTAACACATTTTACATCGTTAGATTCATCCTGCATAGAAAGCTTTGAAGGATGAAACTAATTCGGTTTTCATCGTTGACACCCACTGAACTCTCACAATGGGCTCGTTCGACTTAAACCAGGCGTGCGCAGAATCGATCACCGGCGATCGGTGCACAATGCATGCTGGGTAGATTTGCGTCCGACTTGCTCTGACGTCATGAAAACGTGCGTAACGATGACCTCACGTGAGGGAGGTTTGTCTGGTGACCACAAGGTTGTTCGTTCGAACCATGGCCTTTGACGTGTCGCATGTCAAAGACAGCCCACTGCTCCCCATATATAGGGATGGGTCAAATGCAGAGACAAATTGATCCTTAATTAACAGGATAAATATAGTATAAAAAAAAATTTAAATCCTAATTTTCTGTCTAATTGTAATACTTAACGCTAGATTGTTGGCTATTAGTCTCATTTTGTGCAATAACAATAATAATATATAAGGTTATTTATTTAGCATCTGTAAATAAAGATATTTATTGAGAAAGCCTACATCCTACTTGATATCAACATTTTTTCAGTCAGAGCACTGGAATGTGTCCATCGATTAATGATTGTGAAGCATCACAGAACGTATTAAAAGAAAAGCACAATTGTCACTGATGGAAACTTGCAGCATTGCTTTTCCTCCGTGTGTAGCCTGTTTATGTAGCTGTGATGTTTAGACAGTGGTTCAGTTTTTAAATTTCTTAAATTTACGGTTGTATGATTTAGAAATGACGCTATCTTTACATATATTTATTTATATAAATGTTTAAATTAATATGACATCCAAGAACTAAAATATGCCCAATCTTATAATAATAACATAGTTACATATATAAAAAGACATCCAAACTTAAAGACCAGCAATTTTGGGGTTAAGTGTCTTGCTCAAGGACACATCGACATGCTCCTAGCGGAGTCGGGGATCGATCTGCCGCTCCTCTGATTGAAGGACGGCCCTGCGCTCCACTTAGCCACAGTCGCCCAAGATCATTTCTAGACTATGAATGTGTGGCATATAGGTCGGCGTCTAAAACCTTGTTGGGAAAACTGGATGTAATACAAGCGTCAAGAATATGTAGTGGGGTCTTTAAAACAACATCTGTGCCGGCATTGCAGGTAGAAATGGGGGATATGCCGTTGGAGTTGAGAAGAATACAGATCATGATGACATATTGGGTCAGTTTACAAGGACATAACAACTATCCAACAATGAGCCTTGCTGGGAACATGACAAAAAGGCCAACACAGAGCTTTGGTTGGGTTGTTAAGAAGAAGGCTAGTGCCACTCCAGAAGCAGAGAGGATTTACTGTTTGAAATTCTACAATCATTTTTAAGAATCCATCAAATGCGGATAGTGGTTAATTTTGTGTGGGTCCATGTTGGAGTCGATGGCAATGAGAAGGTGGATAAAGCAGCAAAAAGGGCTTTGAAGAGTGGGAAAAATAACGTTAATGTAAATATAAGTAAGTCCAAAGCTAAAGTGGTGATTAAGGGACAAATTAAAAAGACATGTCAGAACGAATGTAATAAAGGGAGTAAAGGAAGATATCTGTTTAAAAATAAACCATTGGTTGGGAGTGCAGGATCTAGTGGACAAACTAGAAAAGAGGAGATGATTATGACAAGACTAAGGAATGGCCATACTGGTTTGAACAGTTCCCTCTATGTTATTAGAAAGCATAATAATGGAAAGTGTAAATTTTGTGGAGAAGAAGAAACCGTGGACCATGTTTTATTGTCCTGTCAGAGGTACGAGTCAGAGAGAGAAGTTTTGAAAAAAGGTCTAAGAGAGATTGGAGAGGAAAGCTTTAGTGACAAATGTTGGAAACTTTTTCTGGAATATTTAGAGTCAACAACACTAATGAATAGAATTTGAGAAAGAAATGTATTATTTATTTTTTCTATAT